TCACCATTTACAGAATCTGAATGAATGAATGTGCAGAACTAAATTTGGGTTTCCACTTGTAGTCCAGGTTCAGTTGTCCACCAGTGTCCCAGCCAGCATTGGCTTCGATGCCAAAAAACAGTTTATGTAGGAAGTGAAGGAGGTCATAATCCCCCATAATGCAGTTATCTCCCATAATGCAGTCATATAACAACAGTATAAGGAAAAATTAATCCTGCCCGGAAGTCCTTATCACAACCCAGAAAGCTTCAAAAGTTGACCGTTGCTCCCAGAGGCTATGAGGCGGACAAACAATGGTTAATGAGTTTCAAGATTAAAGCTGCATTCATGCTGCTGGCATGTAAAGAAAATCCCATATGGACATTGGACATGTGTGGGCCTTTTGTCGTATTTTGCACTGCATGTAATTTAGGTTTAAGTAAAAAGAAAGAAAAATCAAAATATAAGTAATTCATAAATATTTCTAAACAGGACAAATACCAGGATATTCATCTGGAGTCTGACTATAAATTTGTGAAGCTGTTTTCTTACAGTAGCGAACATAAATCCCACAGTCCAGCTTTGAAACCTTTACCAGGGTGACTTTTTTTTCTGGATATTTAAATGATGATTTGTATGAAAGCAAAAGAGCATTTCTACTAAAAGTAAGACTCCAGGTCTCAAGAAAAAACATGTTATTGGAAATGCAGGAGACTTCAGCCTGAAAAGATAGCGTCTCTAACTGAAATATGAATCTCTAATCTGCAAAGCGAGGAGCTGATGTGTCAGACCGGATTTTCTGGAGTGTCTCCCTGACTGGAATTGGTGAGCAGCTGACATTAATGGCAAGCTGGGCGCCCAGGTGTGGAATATGGGGCTAAGTAACTAAATTGTGATGAATGACTAACAGGTTTTATTTGCAGTGTTTCTTTTTTCATGGTACTATTAGAGCTCCTTTGACTGCACACACAAAAAAAGCACTTTCCTGTGTTTGGACTTTTTTTTATTTTTTAACTCAGCCGATGTAAAACAGCATTTATTTTATTTCTGAGTTGTCTTAAAAGTTCAAGGATGCCCAAATTACATTCCATAAAAGAAGAAGCAGAGGCTTTTAATTTCTCCACATATTATAATGCAGTTTAGACACAAGACATGTTCTATTAAGATCAGAGGGCACAGCTTCAATTTTCCTGAGCTGGAAGGCACCCTGCTTTTAAAAAGTATTTCGTTTAACCTTGTGAGAGCGACAGGTTCAAGTCAATTCATCCATTCAAAAGAAACCCCTAAATGGAGAAAAAGTAGATAAATAGGTTCGGTGGAAGTTGTTGCTCTGAGTGAATTATAACACCATTAGAGAATAACTTTTGGAACATATTGTACATTTTAGTGTCGGAGCTGTTTTGTGAATGGAGAAGTTCAATTTAAACCAAGTACCTAAGTGCCCCTGAGTCTCAGCCAAACCTGTTCACTCTGATTTTCATGATATATTATGCAGACATGCACTGCCTCTAATGTTCAGGTATTCCTATAATTGCATAATGCCAATCGTTTTTATGTAAACCAAGCTGGTTAGGTCCGTATGAATCATTTACAACAAGTGTCAGTGGAATATTGACCTCATGCATTATCCATTGGCATTCATTTAATCAAGAAAACAGGGCCTAATTTTGTTTCTCTGCGAAGTGTAAGCACTTCCTCTGCTATTTTTCTGCCATTATTAGAAGTAACTTTTATTATTGAGGTTAATATAAAAGAAAAAGTAGAGTAGCATGAGTTGACTATGTTATTTAACCAGCAAAATACATGACACGGGTTATTTTTACTGTACTCAGGGTGCTTTTAGGGGTTTTGAATATTTTGCTCAAGAACTACCACATCCAATCACCTTTAAATCAATGGCGAACTGGGAAGCAGTTATAGAGTTTCTTTCCATATTTTGGTAACGCTTTACAATAACCATAACTTAAGTGGTAAATAGACCATTTATAAATGGTAAGCAGATGGTTATTTAATGTTTAATAATCATTTATATATAGCATATCGACCATTAATAACCTAACCCTAACCCTAACTTTACAATAACCATCTCAGTAATGTTTACAGGTGGTTAATAAACCACTAATTAATCATTTACAAAGTATTACAAACATCAGTTGCAATTTAACAATAACCATATAAGTAATGTTTATAGATGGTTTAAAAACCAAATATTAACCATTTACAAAGTGCTACTGACACACATTTAAATCTAGATGTTTTACAACCAATATTTAAACCCTATATAAACCTTTAATAAGTAGTCCATTAATAATTAATGAAAATTATAAATCATAATTCCATTGCTTGTTAATGGTAAAGTAACTATTAACTTACATTAATGAACTATTTGCCATTTATAATTGGTCTATATGCTGTTTTTAAATGATGATTAAACATTAATAAACTATCTATTTACCATTTATAAATTATGGTTATTGTGAAGTGCTACCGCTATTTCCGAACCCTTGACACCCTTGTGGTATAAACCAATTCACAACACAGACCAACAAAAGCCTCCTCTAAAAAACCTTTAAGTGCTGCCAAAGTCGTTCAGTAGAAAAGTAATGAGTTGTTTGTATTACACCAAGACAGATTCATTTGAATTAAGCCCTGTTAATGGCCACAAATTAAGATGCCATTTCAAATAACAGCCAATTATTCCAAAGCTTGCACTCAGGCTATCTGTCCTGGATGTCGATAAGCCAAAGAGTTCATGCCAAAGGCCATTTAGCCAAAGTAAAATTTAACTCGCCCTTTGTGAGACTGGGACTGGAGCTGGAACAATTAGATTGTTGAGGTACTCACTTGAACAGGTCTTACCTCTCTAAGGAGCCGGTCCCTCACTAGAGGGGAAGGACGAAGGCGGATTAGCCGACATACCATCCCACTCCGTCTGGCCTCCACATCAGGACCAGACCCTGAGGTCCACAGATTCCACCAATTAACTTGTCATTCACTCCTCTTTTTTTTTTTTTTTCTTTCTGAACAGAGACTTCATGGCTTCATTGGTGAAATGGATTAAGCTTCAGAATTCTCCTATTCCCACCCCCACCAAGTACTCTAGCCTGTCATTGCTTAAACCCCGGTTCCCCTTCAGGAGAGATCCATGTGAAAAAAATGGGGCTCGGTTAGCCAGAAAGGTCACACTCAATACATAGTATCTGATATCGTTAGCTCTAAATACTACTAAAAGAAAATACCAGTCGACCTGCTTCATTTGAGAACTTGTGATTCTTTCCGAGGCTTTAATAATGTCTGCTAGAGAATGTAATTAATTCAGAATTAATTCACAGTGTAATTAATCACCCATCATCAAGGTCTTTCACGGCGGCTCGATGTTAGTAGATCTCACTTTTCTGATAAGCAGGTATAAATCATCAGCCAGGGGCATGCTTTCCCTGACATTATTTTGGTTCCTCAGAAGCCAACTAAACCATGCCTCCCACGGTTACAGCATCAGCTTTGATAAATCTCATTAGCCCTTACTCTGCACGTTCATTTGCATAAACTTGTTTCGCGCTCACCAGCCTGGGGTTGCACAGCCTCAGCGAAGGCATCTGTGTGGCGTTGACCCGATGAGTGTTTTTTTTCTCTTTTCCCAACTACATAGGCCTGTTTTTTCTTCTTTTGACAATAAAACATTCGGTAAATCTATCCCACACTTACTGTTTTTACATCCTCTAACACTGCCAAAATCTTCCACAAAAAATCAAGGAAAATAAGACATTTTTTATACAAAGGCGGCAGTCTGCTCCATGTCCCCTTGGAATACGCTGTGCTTTGGCATCCGCCTGGTCTCCCTCCGCAATAATCAGCCTTTTTATTGTGTTGTTGGTTCTCCACCATTGTCTGATGAAGCCAAACACTCTTCTATTATTTATTCAGTTCAATAGTATGGTAAAGTGCGCCACAACAAAATCTATGCATTGTAAAGTAGCTGTGTATGGAATGTAGGGCATCAATAAATTATACAGTAGTGTTTAATGATACAGCACAGCGGCAGTAGTGGGAGAAACCCCACCACAGAGTGCAAACTGTGAATATGAACTCCATTAGTATGGGAACATGTTTTACAGAAGAGAAAGACCTGGAGCAAGACATTGTAAAGAGGTCAGAAATCCTATTTCAAATGTCTTTTTTGTCAGTACTATCAGTATTAAAAGTGGGGCTGCTGATTGTATTAATGATCAGGGTTTTTCCTGCTCCACATGAGGGTACTGCAGTTTCCAGCATGGGGGGAGGGAGGCAGATTAGAATAGACTTTTGGTCTTTCTTTGTCTCTAACACCGTGCTGTATTCGATCCCTGCTGTAAATCTATGTTAAAAGGTTCCTGTTTCACTTCACAGTTTTTTTTTTCCTCCATAGTTATTTAATTTTAACAACATCAAAAGCTTATTTTTATTTGTCTGCTACCGGCTGTATTCCAGCACATGCATGGCAGCCCCCGGATCCACTCTTTCCTTTTATGCTCAGTAACAGCGCAGACTTGGCACTTTCTTCCTTGAGCTTGAATTTACCCACTGTCTTTTATTTTGGCAATGGCTTATTTTGGTTGTTTTCTTGAATATCATGTTAGGACTTGATTTAATTTGAATTTAAAACTAAAATGTAACTTTTAAAGCTCTATATGTACTACCCCTAAATAATTAAGACCTGGTCTTCTCAGGTCTGACCTAAAGTAACACTCACCTTGGACATTTCCGAATAGGACCTGACTGAGACAGACCAACCTCGGGTGTTGACAAATGAAGCCAATTGGCAAGTGCAAAAAACTGCTCTGGTGTACACACGATCCACCCACATCAAAATGCCCATTTTTACATCAAAGTCAAATGTGTTCACTGCATGGTACCATGATGGAAATCTTGAATTACGAGTCAAGACTCAGAAAATTCCAATTTTTTTTATCTTGTAAAATTTTGCAAAGAGGTCAGCCATGTGTCAAACCAGGGCTGACCCATAGTTAAGTTCAAAAATATGTATTAAACCTGAGGAGGAACACTCTCTAACATGAAACAGCTGTACCCAAAGAGGACATATTGTTTGGTCTAGTCCAGTGAAACAGATGTATAGGTCAGGCCATCAAGGTCAGGAGTTTCCTCTCCATTTGTGATCAGTGGGCATTCCTTTAGGGCTGAGAAAGTCCTGCTTCCCAGCAGAGTCACACCTAAAACACACACAAAAATCAAAATAAGTTATTCTAACAATTAGATATTTAGAAAATGGATATGACATAAGATTATATGAGGGGTTTATGAAGATTTCCATCAGTAAAACAGATATGGTCACATGCATGGTGTCTTTCTTCAGTCATACACACTGTATTGATTATATTGAGACTCAGAGTTTCCGCGTAAATTTGCATGATTAGGGTCGCAGTAAGTTGACTGACAGTTGGCCCACTGTTGTTGATTGCCAGAGGCTGGAATTCACCTAAGATCCATCTTTTTGTCAGTGTCAAGATTAATTGAAGTTAGTCATTGTTAGCTTCGTCCAGTGTGGTGGTGGCCATTGTTTGGCTGCCTTTTGAAGAAGTGGGAATTTTGGGGACAGATTAAGACCTCTATGGGACAGACTTAGTTTTGAGACCGGCCTCAAGTTGCTGATTAAGGAGCTGCAGTTTTCTGCTCTTTCTGGACTTCTGGATCCAGATGTTGCTGCTTGGTTCAGAAGTAATAATCTTAACCATATCAGGGCACAAGGACAGATTTCGTAAGACTGATGTCTGTTCTCTGGTTCAGCAAAACCCGGAACCAAAATGCAGCAAAACAAGTTAAATTAGTAAGGTTAATTCATGAAAAATGTAAATATGTTTTTTGACTCCATTAATATTTTCATTAAAACAGTCATTCTTAAAGGGTTGGTGTTGTTAAAAATGTTTTGAAGCTGTCTTTTTTGGATGATTTTCAAGGACTGATGTCTATTTACAGAACACTATTAGAGGATTTTGTCAAAATATTTTCAATTTCTATCATTTTTCCTCTTTTTTTTTTCAAAATGTAGCCAGTGTGTATAGTATTTAGAGTAAGACTCTTAATAAGAATAGAGTTCTTTGGTCTGAGAGTCCAGTTCAGCTCTGTTCATCTCCTGATAGACAAGGCTGCGGTTAATCCCCAGTTCTTTTATTACCTACACTTTATTTCACCCCCACATGAAATTCCTGCAGGAAAATCCTTCCCTCGTTTTCCACTGGAGTATTGGCAGTGGTGCGTGGTAGCTGGCCTTACCCCAGCCGGTCGACGCTGTAATATAATTTCATATTGATTTCTTGTTGACCTCCCATGAAGCAGTCATCATTCTGTAATGTGCTCCACACGTCTTCTTAATGAAATCAATAGCCCCCCTGCCAAACACAAGTCCAATAGGACTCTCTGGGAACTCGCTGCTATTACAGAGTGAGTATGGGGAACATTTGTAGGTTAAAGACGAGGCTTTGACTGGCTTGTAATGAACCACACCTGAAGGTAAGGGTCACTTTATTTCTCATTCCCAACAATGCGTATACCGAACAGCAAATTGAAGGAAACATTTGTCACCCGCTTTAATATCTATGGTTCACCACTTTTGTCAAAACAATTTAGCTGTAGACTTTTAGAGTCCGTTATGTTTGTACTTTGTGTCAGTTGTTTTTGTGATTGTGGTTGAGCTGTTTTTGCAGACACAGTCAAACTTGAATTGCAGCGGGGGAAAAAATATGAATCTTGCAAAAACATAACAGCGCTGTAATTCAGATATGTTGTCAGATTATCCGGCTACATTGGCACAGCAGAGTCATGCAGTCTCTCTTGCTTTTTTAGAACATTTGATTCTGTCAGCTCATACGCAGATTATGATTTATGTAGCAAAACTGCCTCTGAGGAATAGTAAACAGTGAGATTTCAGGTTGTGACTGTAGGATCATTCATCACAGATGCTGTCCCATGTTTTTAATGTCTGTTCTACCCCGCTTGATATGACAGGGAACTTTTACAAGGAAGAATGAAGTGCATAATAAGATTTAAAAAAAAAAAAATCCCATTAGCAAGAGTTGCTAAATCTTTCAATTCAACATGTGCAATACATTGTAGTGGTGTAGGTTAACCACTAATCCCTTTTTGTGAGGGGAAACGGTGTGTATCAAGGCGGGTGGAGGAGAGGTGCTATAAGTGGTTTGGGTGTAAACTAATATCGTTCAGTTTATTCTTGGGAAGGTAACCTACTTCTGAATGCATAATGCCCTTGAAAAGAAAATTAAAAAAGCTCAAAAACACGTCATTTAATGCTTGCACAGTCACATGGCGCATAAAAATAATATTATGCACGATGCTTACAGGAACAGGTGAAATGCTATGTTGGCTCTGTTTTGCATGCCCTGTTTCAACATTTGCACTGTATCCTCTGGACCATGTGTGATGTCCTTTAACGCGCTTAACACCCACCATCTATTTGGATGACACTGCCATCTACCAATGACAGCACTGTTGTGGAAACTGTCAAGGTGACTTTTACACATCCGACCCTATTTGCCAGTGGCACTTGCTAAGCCAATGTTGACCGTGGGGCTTTTCCACAGTTTAATTTTGAAGAGCGGCTTTGGACCTCTCCCAACGCAGCAAAACACACTGTGCTGCCCTCAAACCTGAAGTGGGAACACAGTTACAGTGTCAGGGGTGGATTAGCTAGTGTTTCTGCGAGTATGCCGAACTTTGGAAGGTCTGAGTTGGAAAAATGATTTTTTTCAATGACAAAACTTGATGTTTATTTGGTATTCTATGTATTATTCCCCTCATACCATTAATTCATTTATTTCATCAGGTTTGTGCATAGTAATTTATGTCTTTACTTGTTGTTTTCAGCATTTGATAAGCAACAATGCAAGTTATCTCCCAGCTATTATTATTATTTTAATCAAGATGATGCATCTTTATTTGTCCTGTTTTTGTATGCATGAGCGAAACACATATCCATCCCTGTTGATGGGAATTCTACATTTTGTCTCGTGAACTGCCCTAAAAGGCATGAGGCTTTGAGTTACTCAACTCTGGAATAAGATTTTAGCAGCTTATGAAACTGACCAAAATTCAGGCTGCCTTTTTATTGGTTCTTTGGCACTGATCTCTTGTGAGTTTTACAATCAGAAGAGACAAAAAACACAGAATACACACTTAAAAGTCAAAATAAGCAAATAAGCAAAGACTGCGACTTGATAAGGCTGTAAAAACTACAGGGGATACTGACTTTTGTCTCCTTTACTTCTAAGAGCTTAGCTACAGATCTGTAAGTGACTAATAAAAGACAAAGTCAAACTCCCAAGCAGCCGCCACTTAGTGATTTTCATGAAAAATAAAGCCGTATCCACAGTGGAGCCTATTTTAGTTTGCTCTCTTGTGATTTCCTTGCACTGGAGTGATACTGTCACATTTGACTGCCATTTAAATCTGCAAAAGAATAGCGAAAGGTTGAGACATTAACATTGTGCAATTGAAATGTTAGCCCTTTCAAAGTGAGACGCTGTCTCCGAGGATGGAAGGAAGATGGTGTGATGTGGGAACAGGGCTCATGAGGCAGCGGTTGGTTGTAAACTCAAAGAGCAAGAGATTCTTTCAGCTGGAGCAAAGACAGGGAACAGAGGGTGAGTCTGAGGGAGCTCATTATCAGATGAAGACAGATTTCTCTCCCCCCACGGGTTTAGAAAGATGAACTTGTAGACTTAAACAATAAAACAGCACATTTCTTCATCATTAAGTCTCACTACACTTAGTGTATATGCATACTTGACATAGCCTCTTGTTGTTGCTATGCTACATTCTCAGCGCCTTAGTAAGAAATCCTAGATCAAAAATGTCAAAGATTCAGTCCTAGCAGCTGCCATGAAAGCCTGAAGTTCACTACCTACCACATGATACTGACAGCCCCCCCTGCTGCTGCTGCTTCCTTGTGAGTCATTCAGGATCAGCACATCAGCTAAATACCCTGATTTTGAATATAAACATGTTTCATATTCCTGCACTGTAGTATGTCAACACCTGCAAAATGAGAGTCATGGTGCAGAGAAGAGCCACTGTTGGTCCCCACTGCACAAAGGCCTGACACGTTAAATAGCTTTGAAATGAACAACAGCAGAGAGCTGGCATGTCTGACAGAGTCTGATAACATTATATACATGTCCGTCACAGTCATGGCTGCTTGAAACACCAATGCATGTGTTGCTCGGCTTCAAAAATATCAGCCCTTTCAGCAGAATGCTCTAGATTTGCATTGGTCCAGGACGAGCTGAGTGGGAACGAGAGGGTAAGTGGGCGGAGGGGGGAAACAGCGAGAGGCGTGCCGGGGTTGACGGGTGAGGCGGGGGTGTTGCAGAGGGAGGGGAGTGAAAGAGCAGGCGTGAAAAATGAAATGCACAAATGGTGTTGACGGAGTAAGCACTAAAGAGGATGGGGCAAACGCCTGCACACTTAATGAGTTCCCTCCAAAGACAAAGAGACTGTCCTTCACAGCAGATTCCTGCAGCCAATTGTCAGACATGCAAATGTAGAGATGTTCCAGTGAGGTATGGGAACACTTGAGACACAGAGAGGAACACTCGGCACAAATTTGAAGCTTTTTCAAAAAGCAATAGAGTAAAATGCAAATGAAAGAGCCATCACAGGAACTTGTGCATGAAGAGTTACTGTATATGCAGATCCATCACACACATTCAGGGTGCGGTGATAAACAGACGCATAGGAACAAAGTTATTTTTCAAAGATGATTTTTTTTCGACCGCTGACAAAGAAAAAAGAAAAAACAATTACAACACATTTCTTGCAAATTGGGTGCCTGCCAAGTTTCCCCTGCACAACATGAGAGGGAGAAGCAGAGAGGGTGCAAAGAAAAGGGAAAGGAAAGAAAGAAGGAGGGAGCTTATCATTCTGTGTGACTCCAAGGGTAAAGGAAAACACATGGAAAACTGAAAAGAGAAAGGATATGGAGAGTCAAGAAGCAAGAAGGATGGACAATGTGAAAGTACTTGAAGCATTTCAGGTAAAAATCTTCAAAGATTCACTCCAGAAAACTGAAGAAATTAAGTTTGGAACCACTCTGCATGAAGTTAAGTCATTTTAGCAGCTTGTCTGTGTTTTGATTATTTCATTCAGGTGTTAAATTTGACATTATGTAGTAGCATCTTACACTTCATGACACCAACAATACTCGAATCTCAAGAATACCGAGTGTGTAAAGCAGTATTACCTTTTTTTAACACATCTTTGCATTTAACTCCTTATTTACACTGGGAAAGAAGCAACACATTGTCTCCCATTCATTAATTATCTGAAGCAGCAACAAGAAAAAGAGAAAGCCAAACAATACATGAGAGAGACGCTCGGGTAGTTAGAAAGAGTGTCGAGACGCCGAGAGTGAGAGATTACGCTCTTTGCTGCTAACAAGGCGTTGTGTAGGAAACCCATTTAAAAATAGGCTAGCATTTAAAATGGGCCAGATACCAGATAAAGCAGCCTCGCTGTGCCAGAGTAATGAGCTAGGCCTCACTCGCTCTATTAGCAGAGAGAGAGAGATACACACACACGCACACACCCAGCTGTGGCCAATTAGACATAGACAATCATCAGATTATTATTTTTACATAATAAATTCAGACAAATCATCAATATTTGCCTGGTCAAAAAAAGCCATGCTGGAGATATTAAAATGCACATAAGCATTTATATCTGTTTGCGCTTTAATGTGAGTACGGTTATCTTCGTGTTTTAATGTGTGGTGCACGTGTTGGCGCATATTCAGACGGTAATTAACGTGTACATGTGGAATTCAGTTAATACTCTGGGGTCAATACAGGGTAAATGGAAGTTAAACCCAGTAGCTGTGCAATAGATGTGAGCAGATGGGTCACAGGGCTGGCAAATCTACTCATCCTTTGTTTCATACAGTCTCTACTCACAGAACTAATGCTGTGTATCTCTTAGTTCACTTCAGTCCACACAGGACAGACACCTTCTCTCCCTTTAATAGTACATTCTTAAAACTTTCCTCATTGTTAAAACTTATAGTTTGAGCTGGTTCAGGCCTGGGCCAGCTCTCAGTTACGCTACTGTAAGTTTAGACTCTTAGGAGTACTGGCACGTTGAGCACCTTTCTCTCCTTCTCCATCCTCTTTCCATCTGTGTCATTAACTTTGAATCATCTTATCCCAGTGGAGTCTTTTCTGGGGGTCCCTGAGCTCCATCATGCCGTAGACACCTCTGGATCGCAGCTGCAGATGTTTCGCTGCTGTGGATCTGTCTGCTTTCCATTTGCTTCAGCTATGTGCATCAGTCTCACCTCTGTCCATCTGCCTGTTTCTGCATCTCCCTCTGTCCCCTTTCTAAACCAAATGCTGTAGTGACAGATGACTGTCTAACACGAGTCTGGTTCTGCTCAAGGTTTCTGCCTGTTAAAAGAAGTTTTGCACCACAAAAAGGCTTAAAATACTTGAGTTTACATGCACTTAATTTGGATGTGTAGATGTTTATCTTTTTTGAATGAAACTATGACAGAAATTACTTTTTTTTATAATGTTTTAATTATGGATGTAAAATTAGATGGATGTACCGTAGGTTTAAGATTAAAGGGTGTAAATTTTGACTATTCTGTAACATTTTGTTCAACATTTGGGATTATTCATCTCAATCAGACAGTTGGTTAAAAAGCAGCAGACAGAAAGCACATAGTGGGAGAAAAAGATATGACATTAACTAGAGAGTTTTAGATTTGACAAAAGTCAGACAGCCGTGGATTTGCCAAAATGATATACCACCTAAAATGCCATCAGTGTATAAAATCTCTGATTTTCATCAAGAAAACCTTAGTTTATGTCATGTCACTTTTAAAATGATGTAAAACTACAACTCCTCTCCAATCTCAACCAATTCTTTGACGTCTCCTTAGCCGAGGTGCAGTTTTCATAAGCAGATGGTGTAGAAACTGAGCATTCAAAAAGGACAAACTCTCTGCGTTAACAAAACAAAACATGATTTAACATAATCCAGGGTTTTGAGATTCATCCAGCGTTGACCTGCTTGTGTCTGGATGTAGGAGTATTAAACCATAGAGCATTTAATTCGAAGAGAAACCCATAACAATGCACTGGTATCAGATTTGATCATCCCATAATCAAGCAAAACTTACTATTGGATAAAGCTATCGTGCAAAACTGTTGCCAGGATTTCAATATTTGTTTATACTTTTTGTTTTCGGATACAATGAGAGGCTTTTTTTAGGGTGATCACAAAAACTGAATCAACTGAGTCCGTCTAGATTATTTCAAGAAAAAGAAATATGTGATTATGACTAATTTTGTCAGTGAGCTCAGTGTGTATTCCTCTGTGTCATGTAGACTGCATTAAGAGATAATTGTCCAGTTTAAGATAACACATTGTGACACGACTGCCTCACACAGTTGACCTCAGACCCGACATGTGAATGAACAGAAGCACAGCATCAAAGACATGCAGATGTGAATCTCGCCTCAGGCCAAACAGTTTCTCTTGCATGACAGTCCACAAACAACATCAACATCCTGCCAATAGCCGTGTGTCACCCGCGCTGTGAAGCACATCACTCTACAGTCATGTATAATCTCTGGGTCAGGCCAAAAAAAATCAAAATCCTCCTGTTTGTTTTTCTTTTTTTTTTTCCCCTCTTCTCTCCATATTTGATTCCTCCGTGTTAAAGCCACACTTATCTCTGAGAAACAGAGACCCATTGAATATCGTCTTCTTTATGTTGTTTATTCAGAGCACACGGCTGATGTATTTGCCCTGCGGCTCGAACGGGGTCAGAGGAATGAAGAACCCTCTGTGGCTTCAACCTTGTGCTCTTATACGTGAAAACATACTGTATTATACATTGTTCTGCGCTTTAGCACTGAGCAAATTCACTCGCTGCGATGCAAATCTGTACGTACTCCAGCAATCTGTCTTTTCCAGTCAGAGGGAATTCAAAGTATTTGCATGCCACAGGGGCGATTTGCACACTAAGACGTTAAAAATGTTTGATTTAGAAATTCAACAGCTGACTTTATGGGCCAAAACACTAAATAATTCAAAGAGGTATAATGTGTGACCCCATTGCTTTTTACATGTTTGGTTTGTTTTCGGCTAAAATGGGCCACAAGGGCTTTTAGGCTCACACACTCAGGGGATAATGCCTTTGCTTGCTTGGTATCCAGCAAGAGTGTAATGACACATATTTTAGTTTCCATAAAGCAGCAGTCACATTGAGTGACAGTGTAACCCATTACTCAGCCACTAAGGCCCATTGTGTTGACAAAAGCACATAAATCACATATCATTACCTGCTGTATGTTGCTAGCCATCTGTCCTGCTGTGTCACTCGAGAAGATGCATTGCTCTTGATCAAAGTGTATTCTGCTTTTGTTGTAGTGTTCCCAGGGCTGGAGCCAAGACTGAGCCTGAAGTTATTCTTGAGCTCGACTCTGGAAGTGAATTTGTATCAGAAGAGCTGAAGAGCCAGAGCAGGAACATGAGGTCATGGCTCCCCCTATGGGACAGTAGCTGTAGAACAAACTGTAGAGAAAAGGGGAAGCCTCTGTTCTTTCACTCTCTGCTTTCCTTTCTGAGGAATGTCTGGTAAAAACCAGACAGCCACAGATTGAACAGTTAGGATGTATAGACGAATAAGCAGAGTGTTTCTATTTTCACATCTTTGACGCAAAGAGGAGGGATGATCACAACAGGAGAAGAGGAGGAGGATCAGCTCATTCTGGAGAAGAAAAAAGGTTTGCTAGACTGATCATCAGAAGAAACCTGGCTACTGAGGGACAGTGCTAAGATCGCATGTGGGAAGAAGATCAGAGTGTTTCTATCCTGCTCCAGGCCTCAGATGTCAGACATACACAGAAAGTAATGATCTGAACCCCCACCTGCTCTGACAACCTTAGATTAGAGACTGTGCACATTAAGTTCATAAACGCTGGCTACAGTTTCCAGATATTAAAGGAAACAACCAGACCCACACAAAAGCAACAACTTCTTTTAATTGGGTAGACTTTATTTTGTTTTGGACCGTTAACATTCCTCAAAATTCAAAAAGTTGGAATCATGAAAGACGGAGAGAAACTTGTTTGGAGGAAGAGAAGAAAAAGTGCAATCGAAGCAGATGAAATCTTTTGTATAGTCTAGTGGTGAAAAGGGGGTTCAGCCAGCACTTGTAAAGATGGGAGGAATTCGAACCACATGTCGGATATCCAAACGTTGTGCTTTTATTACTCCTGAATGGAGCCTCAGTCAGGTACCCCACGCCCCTCCCTCCAACAAAGTAGGGTCAGGAGGTCAGGCAGGTAGTCATTAAGCCCCCCCCTTATCCTTTCACCTCCTGCCCTCCTTGGATCCACAGCGCCAGAGTATGGGATCCAGGCTTTGTGCTTGCTTCACCACCTCTACGCCTTTCAGACTTGGGTGACTTTGTCGTGTCTCAAGTAACAGCCCACGGCAGAGGTATGTTCAGCTCAAGTCAGGTGTGCACTCCTTGAGTAGAATCATAATAGAAAGGAGGAAAAGAGCTGAAGGAGTTAACGTTTTCAGCCAGCACCTGAGTGAAGCTTGACATCAGGCGTCAGATTTTGTAAAACTCTTTTTTTATCATGACTCAGCAGGGGAACTTTCTAAATGGCGTCATCTTAACTACACAAAATTAGGTCAAAACCCTGTTCTAATTTAGTCAAATCCCTATTTGAAGAAGTGCCAGGGTTCTCTTGCTCGTGAAAGATCTCATTTCTTTCTAATGTTGGCGGCGAGGCGAGCAAAAACAGTCAAAAATTTATGAATAAGGCTGAAAAGACTCCGAATGAAGAGCATTAAAAGTTATTAAGAGGACTTGAGAGGAGACTGATACAGGGTATGAATATGAATACAGGATGAGCAACCTCTGCCATTTAAACCATGATGAGCATCATGCATCAGTAAAAATTCAGTTACATGGGGAAGCTTCTCGGAGGGCTAGACAGAATCTCGCTGAGCGCCTGACTGATCGGCACTGACATTTAAGGGTGTAAATGAGAAATTGTGCAATTTCTGGGAAGTATAAGACGTACGGCAAATTGGTGTTAAAAAAAATGGAAATATGAACAGAAACACAAAGAGGAACAAGTCTCGGCTGATTAAGATCAACTACTAGCTAGTTACTCCTCTGAAACTAGAAAGGGTAGATTTCAAGGGTGTTACATCAATACATGAGAGAGAGAAAGAGAGAGAGGGGAGTTTTCTATGAGGGGAGCACAATTTACTGCTCTTATGCCTCATCAGTGTGCTGCAGTGGTGGCTGTAAATCTGCAGATTGATCAAACTGCAGAGCCAAAGGGATCCGAAGCCTTATCTCAGAGAGTAAGGGCTCAGCAAAGTCGAAGACTTACTGTTGGTGTGAGTGATGGCGCTGACTATCTGGCTCTCACCTGGATCCATACAAAAATACACACAGCCTGCGCATTCTGGATTAATCTCCTTCCTCCGAAAACACATACAAACACATAAACCCTCATATATACTTTGAGAAAAAGATAGAGTGTGAGACTGATAAGACTGAGGGAGATGGTTTGTACTTGCTGAGGGGATCCACATACAGAAATGTCTTCCTGATTTTAACAGTTCTTCCCTGCAGCACAACATCACTTCATTACAACCACTGCAGGTAAACAATGACCTCATCCTGGTCAAATCCATACCTTCCTGTCAGCCCACCATCCACGTCTGCCAAAAGACACTAAACCATCCACTCAAGCGTGCGTGTTGCCGAGGAGGGATTACCTTTATTGGACTTAGACAGCCTGAAGGCTGGAGAAACAGGCGGACCTGATGTGCCTGTTATGTTCAGGGAGGGCTTCTCTCTTGTTAATAGCAGTCTTTTCCTTCAGTAACACACAAGGTACTGATCCCACATGGTGGATGCTAGGGGAAGGAAAAAGGGGCACATGTTGGGAGAAAAGAAAGCTGCCTGCTAACCCCCACGGCTATGCTAACACAGCTTCCTTCCCATGGTTGCGAATCTGAGGGTGTTGCATTTGAAGTGTTACCCTGCTTAGCTGGCGAAGAAACCCCAAACCCCAAAAGAGCTGAAAGGAGTGGAAAATGTTGATAACTATTTTTAAAGTATAGGGCATAAGACAAGACAAAGCATAAAGAAAAGGGTGTGAACATGCAAAGAAACAAGGTGTTATCAGCGATACACACTTCACCTACAAACTGTTGTCAAGATTTTATAATCTGACAACTCCGTGTGAAGTCTTGGCACACAGTTTGTAGAAGTTGTAATTGATTTGATATTTTTCACAGCCTGTTACCACTATCACACATACAGATCATTTCCAAATGGAAACTCTTGCTTGATATGTTTTCTTGAGCACAAAAAGCCGAGATGCACCCAATCTTTGCGATAGATGGTCTTTGTCAGACTTTTCAATTATTGCCGGGCTAATCCAGTAATCATTTTGCTGGATCTTAATTAATTTTGCACTGTAATTTTGTTTCCCTTATCAGGCAGTGGAGATCTCTGAAAAAAATGGCCTCCCAGTGGAATAGTGGTATTCCTGCAGTCTACCTTCTTTTTTCAAAGCCATATCTTGAGTGCAGTTCTGCTAGAACAGTCATCCTCAAACATCATACGACACATTTTCAATTTCTATGAATCGTGGGCAAAGAACAAAGTATCTAAAGCCCAAGAAGTCATATCAATTATTATGGATGACTGGGTTTTTGAAGACAGACTGATAATTCTGTACTGGAGGAGTCGGCTCCAAAGATTTCACGTTATTATCTAATCCACATATTGTAACTATTTGTTTGATTTAGTGTATTTGGATTGTCTTCCAGAAGGTTCATGACCTTAGACTGTTTATAGAATGGATGCCGTCTGCCTCCTCGCTGGGTGAAGCCACCCGAAACAGCGCCCTCTGGTGACGGGCTGCAGTATAGGCCATAAATCCCGCCTCCTCCAGCAAAGCTTATGGAGCTGTGGACAAAATTCAGAAATTGATTACACAGAATATAAATTTTTCTCTCCCCTGCCTCTGACGTTGACATGTAATTACTGTAAGACTGGTTTGTGCTCAAGTCCTCTTTTTTTCTGTACAACTGCATTTTTAAAAGTTATTAGGGGTTCATGTTTTCTATGATTGACACCTGATACAGCTTATGGGCGTACGGAGATTGCATAGCTCACCTGGGGGATACGCTGTTTGAGTAGAGTGTCATCACAGGGACTCTCGGCAACTCTCCCACCAAATGCGTACAATGCTAGGCGCAAGTGATGAAGTGCGTACAACGCTACTGCGCAATCTTGGTTTCAGGAAATGGAGAAAAATCACAGAAATACCGAGAGCTTTTCGGCTTCAAAACCATATACTGGTGGAAGATGGAACAAAGTTGTCCATACAGTCTATGATCATGACACACAAAATAGCCATGACATTGCTCGCCCTCTAAATTATTTCCCCTTCTCATGGACTGGACTTCGTTGTCCAGCACATCCCTCAGATGCTTGTATTAGCTGAAATCTGGCAAATGTGGAGGCCAGATCATCATCGTAAACTCCTCCACGTCACTTTCTTCCTCTTCTATGTGGTCCAGCTTTGATGCCCATGTACCCACTGATGGAGCTTTCGGTGGTGGACACAGAACAAACACCACATCATGGTTGGCCTGACACTTTTCTTCAAGAGCAACCATCAACTTTTCCATCAACATAATCTCCATTTCCACTGCTATGCTGACGACATTCAATTGTATATCTCTTCCACCTCCATCACCCCCCAGACCCAACGCTCCCTCTCAAACTGCCTCACTGATGTTAAAAACTGGATGGACACCAACCTTTTAAAGCTCAACTACAACAAAACAGATCTCATCATCATTGGCCCAAAATCCCTCACCTCCACAGTCACAGACTTTCAGCTCTCCATTAACAACACTACCCTCTCCCCCTCCCCCCACTGTCGCAACCTTGGAATTCTCTTTGACAGCAACCTCACCTTCACACAACATGTTAAGCACATCTCCAAAACAGCCTACTACCACCTCAAAAACATTGCCCGCCTCCGCCCCTCCCTCTCCTACTCTGCAGCCGAAACCCTTATACATGCATTCATCTCATCCCGTCTAGACTACTGCAACAGTCTCCTCCACGGCACTACCTCCACTCTCCTCAATAAACTTCAGCTCATCCAGAACTCTGCCGCCCGCCTCCTCACCCATACACGCTCCCACCAACACATCACCCCCGTCCTCCAGAACCTACACTGGCTCCCCATCCCCCATCGCATTCAGTACAAAATCCTCCTTCTCACCCACAAAGCACTCCACAACCAGGCCCCCCCTACCTGCAAGATCTTCTCCACCCCTACATCCCCCCCGCACCCTCCGCTCCGCCGATGCCAACCTCCTCACAGTA